TGCTTTTTGTTTTTATGAATATCTCAAAAACAAAAAATCTGAAGAAACCCACTTTTTCCTAGAACAGCCCCCATATGTTAATATTAATAGTTGTTAATATATTATATCTGTTGTAAAAAGAATCATCTTCGTGAATGTTTTTTATCATATTATTGTATGTAACATAACAATACATTTATATTTTATCATCCCATTTATGTATTTTTTGCAACAAAATAATGATACAAAAGTAAACAGTTTATTTGTTTTGGTTTAAAATGGAAAATTAATAGAAAACAAGCAAGCTTCTTCAATACAAACTAACATGGATATTTATTTGTTTATAATTTAATCTATTTTGATTCGATCGATCTTAATATTTATTTTTATAAATAAATGATTTTTGACGCAAAGATTTATTATAACATATCAGCCATCGAAAAAATGTAATTCTTTCTGTATATCGGTATGTAGAGCAATTTTACATGCACACGAATTGTGTGTGATAACTTGATTTTTTTTTCGATCTTTGACTTTGAAGTTAATACTATGTGTGATAGTAATATATAATGATATTATTAATAAAATAAAATGCGCTTGAATTGTCTTTAGTGTCTGAGTTTGAAACACATGTAAGTTGGCTAATGTTGATACGTAGAACAACTCTTACATAGTATTAGTGGTGTAGGTTTTTGTAAGTTTTAACAAAATCCTTTTATTTGTTGAATCGCTGGAATCGCAATGAAGAGTTTGGTTTTCTTTTGATGTTGTTGGAATTGTTCTTTGAATAATGCAATCATGTTACACTAATTTAATTATTATTATTTATCTTATGATCTAAACGATCTAAACCACTATTAAAAAAAAAATGAATGACTTAAATTACCATATAATTGATCTATGAAATTAGTGTTTAATATTAATTTTAATAATGAATGCTTCTAACTATAATAATACATTAATTACATTTGAAAAATGAAAAAAAATCCTATAAAATAAGAGAAATTTTTTCCAAAGTGGTTCAACAAAAAATTATTTTTAAAAAAAATTATTTTAATTAATCATGATTAGAAAACCAATTAAAGATAAAACGAAGAGTGGTCGTATCATTAATGCAACTCACATGATACCTTATGACCCCATATTACTATCCAATGTAAAGGATGATAAATATCAATGGGATTTAAAACCACGAGATGATCATTCTGCTCTTTATTCTGGTGTCAGTTCTTTAGATTCGGGATGGGAGAATTATCACGTTGGTTTTGTTGGTCCTGTTTATAAAAATTCCGAAAAAAGTATCGAACCAAGTAGTCAAACAGACAAATTAAAAGCAAGCTTGGTAAAGACCTTGGCCGAAAAAAAAATTCTACCCGTTTTTCTTGATGATGAAGAACATCATGGACATTATGAAGGTTACTGTAAAATTGGTATGTTTTTTCAATTTTTAATCAATCAATTATTATTTTTAATATTATTTAAAAAACTATTATTGATCATGTGAATCATACAATATTTACATGTCACAGTATTATGGCCGTTGTTTCACTATATTTTGTGGGACACTGCCACTGATGGTAGAATAGAAGCACTCAATTGGGCGAACTATGTAAAGGTTAATCAACGATTTGCCGACAAAATTGTGGAAGTATATAGACCTGGTGATTTAGGTTTGTAATAAATTTTCAAAAAATTTAATGACAACATGGATAAATATATATTATATATTATATATTTATAGTATGGGTTCATGATTATCACCTTTTGTTGGTTCCTCAAATGTTACGTGAAAAGCTTCCTGAAATAACAGTTGGACTTTTTGTTCATGCACCATTTCCTAGTTCTGAAATTTTTCGATGTTTACCAAGTTTGTATAATATATATATATATTTTTACACCATATGATGATATTTGGCCACAAGAATAAAATTAATCATATAGATATAATGAACATTGATTGATTGGTTTAGAAAGAAATGAAATATTGAATGGAATGTTAGGTGCCAATCAAATAGGATTTCAGGTTGTTTATTGATTATTTTAACTAAATTTAATAATAATTGATTAGATATATATATATTAATATTCCTTATATTATTATATAATAGACATATGCATACTCAAAACATTTTATAAGTAGTTGTACTCGTGTTTTAGGATATGAAACTACACAAAATGGTGAAACCAGTAAAGATAAGTATATAGCAGGCACTGTTGATGCAAGAGATTCAACAGTAAGTATAGGAACATTCCCAATTGGAATTGATGCTGAGAAAGTTAAAAAAGAGAGGTATTTAATATTGATTATAAGAATATTAATAACAAAAGTAAAACTATAATTATGTAATTATTAATTAATTTGTTTTTTTTTTTTGCTTAAATTCTAAATAGAAAACTCCCTGAAGTTGTGAGAAAAATGAAAGTGATCCAAGAAATATATACTAATAAGAAGATCATTGTTGGTAGAGATAAGTTAGACCTAGCCAAAGGCATTATTCAAAAACTTCTTGCTTTTGAAAATTTTTTATCATTGTATCCAATGTGGCATAATAAAGTCTGTAATTACAATTTATCCATACATGTTTACATATTGTAAATCATTGATAACGATTATTAATCATTGATTTTGTTTTAATACAACCTTTTGTTTTTAACTCTCATACATAAAGGTAGTTCTAATTCAAGTCACTACACCTGCACTTAGTGATTCACCAAAATTAGAGCGCAAGGTTTCAGAACTTATTGCTCATATAAATGGCAAATATGGTTCATTAGAATTCACACCCGTACATCACTATCACAACAATATTGCTCAGGATGAATATTATGCACTTTTAAATGTAGCAGATATTGGTCTTATAACATCAATTCGTGATGGAATGAATACTCCTTCATTGGAGTATATAGTGTGTCAACAAGAAAATCATGGATCTTTGATATTAAGTGAATTCACTGGAATGGCAGGTTCACTTGATGCTTTGACTATGATTAACCCTTGGGATTACACTAGTGTAGCAAGTGCAATCAATGATGCATTAAACTTATCACCTAAAGAAAAAAAAGAAAAACATATGGTAATTTTATTTTTATTGTTGTTGTTGTTATTATTATTATTATACTAAATTATTATTATTTTCCTAAATAGCAACTATATAAACATGTTACTACTTATACTGCTCAATTTTGGGCAAATTCATTTGTTCAAGAGCTTAAAGAAACAATAAAAATTCAAAAACAATCAAGTATTGTTCCATTTCTCAATACAGATAGTTTATTAAATAAATACAAACTCACTAAAAACAGATTATTATTATTTGACTATGATGTAATTTTTCAAAATATAGCTTTATTATTATTATTATTATTATTATTATTATTATAAATTTTTTTTAAAAAAAATTTTATTGTTTATTATTTTTAGGGTACCTTAACTCCTATTGTTCAGACTCCAAGTGCTGCAATCCCAGGGGCTGATACCTTAAAAGGATTAAGTGAACTTGCAAATGATCCTAAAAATAAAGTTTGGATAATTTCAGGACGTGATGTTGATGCACTAGATAAATGGCTTGGTGGCATTAAAAAACTTGGATTTAGGTAAGAATGATTTGGTTGCCTAATAATTTCTACAAAAAAATATTTACTATTATTAATCCACACAGAAAATTCTTTTTTGCATTGATAAAGTGCTGAACATGGTGGTTTTATAAAAAGTCCTGGAAGTAATAAATGGGTTAACCTTATGAAAGATATTGATATGAGTTGGAAAAATGATGTACTTGAGATATTCACATATTATAAAGAACGCACTCAAGGATCATTTATAGAAGATAAAAGTTCTTCAATTACTTGGCATTATCGTCAAGCAGATCCTGAATATGGGTAATTAATCAATCAATTCATATTTATGATATAATATAATATAATATCATAATTAATAATTAAAAAATATGTATAGAGCATTCCAAGCTAAAGAATGTCAAAATCATCTTGAAAGTGCAATCATTCCCAAATTACCAGTTGAGATATTATTAGGTAAAAAAAATCTAGAGGTTAGACCTACAATGACAAACAAGGTATATATATATATATATTATATAACTATTTCACTTTTTAACCTACAAAGATCAGTGAATAATTATAAATTCTTTGTAAAAAAAAATTTCAGGGTGAAATTGTAAAACGTCTTTTGGAAAATCATCCAGGTGTTGATTTTATATTTTGTGCAGGTGATGACAGAACAGATGAAGATATGTTTAAAGCAATAAAAAAGTCTCGTTTACCAGTTGATAGTTATTTTTGCACAATGGTTGGTTCTGCAAGTAAAAAAACTTCAGCTGGATGGCATGTCAATTCATCTCAAGATATTATTCAAACCATTAATAAAATGGTTCAAACGAGTAAAAAAATTTGATCTGAGATTATTTGATTTCTAAAGAATATTTAACAAACAAGCACATTCATTATTGCCTAGTAAAAAAGACTATTAATTTAATTTTATAATTTATTTATATTTTAATAAAAACTAAAACATTTGATTTCCTGTTATGACATAAAATTTTTCACCATACTAATGCATTGAGTTTGTTTAAATCAAAATATATGGCAACTCTAATTCTAATACTAATTCCAAATTCACTATTTTACTAATTATGTTATCAATAATAATAAAGATGACTATAATAAATAAAGATCATTTACATTTGATATGTTCAAGAAAGTAATAATGATATGATAACATTAACTGCTACTGTAACTTTATATTCTTTTATTTGAAATTGACTTCCATCATGTACATACAAACAAATATTAAATTTGTAAAATAAAAATATGCAATACCAATATTTAAGAATTATATTGTTATTATTTTTCTTTTGGTACAGTGAGTATGGCTAATAATTCTGCCTTGAATGGTGCTGGCCATTTATTTATGAAAAATTAACATAATTAATTATTTTATTATTCATTATTTTAGTATTGTTATTTTTAAAGTATTATTCTTATTTCTTAATTTAGTATTATTTTTTACATCTAATTTCGTAACACGTTTTGTTAATAAACAATCGTTTTACCAAGAGTAAAATTCGTTACTAAAGGTAATATTCATCGCTAAAAGCCAGATTCGTTATTAATAAGTAAAACTAATTAATTAAGTTGTATATAAGAAGCTTAGATTCTATGTACTTGTAAAATAACTTTGTGGTAATAAATTAACTTAATAATAAGTCAATAAATTAGTTTTCGATTAAATACCATAAAGTACAATAAATAAGACGTTTTATTAAATCACTAAACCCAAAATTATTCACTAATAGAACTCGTTAGTAATAGCCAATTCATTTTGATATAAATTACGCTCTCCCAAAAATTAATTGGTGACAATTAGCAATTAGGGCTGTTAATGGAACATAATGGGTTGAGTTGGGTTCATATTATAGTTGAGCAAGGGTTAACCTAACCCAATCCGGGTTAAATGTACTGGGTTAATACTCCATGGGTTGCTTCGGGTTGCTCTATGGAGCAATAATTATAGTTCACATTTAAAGAAAAGTAAAAAAAAATTATACCGATTTTTACATATTATTATTATACAAATATATGTAATAATTTCTTGTTTATCATTATATTCTTTTGAAAAAAATTCCCAAACCCAAGAAGTTTCGCGTGAAGTGTTTGATGAATTAGATTCATTTTCTTGTATAGTATTAGTTGTACTTGTAGTAGCTGTACTTGTAGTAGTTATAGTTGTAGGAGTAGTAATTTAACTTTCATTATCTTCTTGACTAAAAATCACTTTCTTCTCTATTTATATTTAATAATGATTCACCTGATGGTTCAGGCTCACTATCTGAAAGTATTTCATATAAATTTTCATAATAAAATTCGCGAACAAAGAAATCAAAATTAACAAATTATTGTTTTATTAATTGATTAATAATCAAATTACTAAAATAATTGGAGCAAAATTATATAGTAACCCGGGTTGATGGCAGAACATTATGCTCCATTTAACCTACTAGCAATGCAACAAAACCAGACAAAGTGAACATTGGTATTACCAGGGATTTCAGGGATCAAATTTAGTAATGTGATTATTAAAATCTCCCATTTGTTGTCTTCTAATATTAAGTGATGTATAGAACTATCCCTACATAAAAATAATAATATGAAACTAATTTATATCAGATCTACTATGGAACCAAAGAATTACAGCACCATTAGGAGTATTTTGAAAAAAGAACAAGGCGAAAAATTTGCTCCCTATATTTTCAAAATAAATGATACTCAGACACTGGAAGCTTATCTAAGAAAAGAAAAGATTACCTATGAAATTTACCAAGAAGAAAGAAAAATAATAAATGTTGGAAAAAGAATGCATCATGAAAGTTTGCTATTACCCAACAAAAAGCAGAAATCATCAGAAGGAAAATAACTACCATTTTCTTTGATAGTTGGAATGAATTTCAATTTATACAGAGAAAAATTATTTTCTTATTTTCAATCAAGGTCATTTCTTAGTTTCTTTAACTTCAATTTGAGCAATTTGACCATTCTGTTGATCTTTTAATTTCCTATTTTCTTCTTCTAGTTGCTTAATTTTTTCTTCTAAATTCTTTATCTTATCTAGCAATCCCTGATTTTGCTCCTTGTTTCACTCCTCAGACTTTTCTTGAAATTTAGCAACTTCTCTTTTGATATTCAATTCTTCTTTGGCAGTAGCTAATTCTTCTTGCAAAGAATTTATTTGCATCTCATAAAAAAGTGCATCAGGAAATTAATTTAGTGTAAACTTGCATAAATATTACGATGCCGACGTAATATTGTGTAAATCTTACAGTGCCGACGTAAGTTTTACACTTTTTTATTATTAAACTTACAATTGACACGTGTAAAATTTTTTTATATTTTCCGGATGTGCTATTCCTCCATTTTGATGAGATAAAAGAGGAAGTTCTTTTTCATTACTTTCTTCTTTACAATCGCAAGTGTATCTTGTTTTTAACCTTCCACAACTACACTTAGGCAACTCATCATTTTCAAATTTCTCTTTGCAACTTTTGCAAGCCTTATCAATTTCAATCATTTTGCCAGTTGCTTTGCTTCAAGTTCTGATTTGACACATTGCTTTTTTTAAACCAAAACAAAAAACACAAGTAGAATTACTGCTATGTCATTCTTCTAACTCCAAAACGGTGTAAAGCAATTCTCTCATAATAGTAAAGTAAACTACTTCTATTCAAGCTGTAAATTCTCGGGCTTGATGATTTTTACTTTCTACCAATTGTTGATTTTTTTGAAACTTGGTTTTAATTCTTGACCTAATTTTTGTAAAGTATTTCGTTTTTTAGGTAGAGCAGGCAAGTGTTTTCTTTCTAAATAAAGTTGTCTATTTAGTTCTTCCTCTCTTTCCTCACTTCTTGCTAACATTTTATTTCTCTTCTGATTCCTCTTGTAATTTTGTGATTTTTCTTTGATCTCTCCTTGCAATGCATCTCTTTGAGTGTTATTTAGTTCTTTTAAACTATCAATAAAACCAAGGTGAATTTTTACATCTCTCTTTATTTTTTTAATAACTCTAATAACAGTTTGAAATTTCCCTTTTTGATATTCTCTAATAATTCTTGTGGTTTGCCTTTTTCTCAATAAGAAATTTCTTCATCTTCTTTCTCTTTAACTTTGGTTAAGATCTCTACAATATTCTTTTCCAAATTCTCAACTTGTTCTTTAAAAGGGGTTAGTTCGGCAGCTTTTTCTTCTAGAACATCATTCTTTTCTTCAAGTTTTTTATTTTTGTCATAAATGAACTAAAAGAATCACAATTAGTTAATTTTCACTCAGTAAAACCTTTAACAATGTTTTCAAGGGTGAATTCGTTACTAAAATTAACTTTCTCAACTCCATTTTCTTTTTGAATTTTTGCTCACTCATCTCAAGCCCAAAAATGTTGTTGTAAGGTCATTAAAGTGCCAGTAATTTCTGGTCTATAATTTTCCATAACATTATGGACAGCATTGTAAGTTCTTAGTTTAAATTCTTGTTCTTTATTAATTGTTTTTTAATACTTTGTTTTCTTCTAATAAGTTTTTATTACTTTCTTGGAGTTCACTTATAATGTTTGTCATGACTTTTCTTTTTTTTTTAATATACTTATATACCTTTTATGAGGGAATATTAAGTATAAATCATTTTAGTACTTTTTATTTTAAAAGTGGAAAAGATAACAATATTTGTCAAAAACTTAATGATGTGTCACCAATTAAATTCGGGAGAGCGTATTTTAATTGGTGATAACAATTATTTTTATTTTGCGTGAATCAGAATGAATAGGGGATCAATGAATTGATTTGTTATTAGTGAATAATTTTGGTTAAAGAAGATAAAAGTTTATTTAAATAAAATATTACTATTTTATTTATTTAGTTTTATTTAGTCGAAAGTAATTAATTAACTTGTAACAAAGTTTTCCTTAGTCGAAACTAATTAACTTGTTAGAAAGTTACTTTTACATTAGGTCGAAATCAAGTTCTTTATATACATGATCATTTACATATTAGCCCGAATTGCGCGATTCCGCTCGGTTTGGGCGATTTTGCTCACTTTGTACCTGGGCGAATCCGCACGTTTTGAGCGATTCCGCCTGTTCCGGGAGAATCGTCATTAATCTCTACTAAATAAAGTCAAATAAATATGAATGTGTCACGGATTGATTTATAATAATAATAATACGCGAAATGTAACACAAATTCAGATGATAATAAATAAAAATAGAAATAATAAAATTAAAAATAATAAAAATAAAAATAAAAAATAGATTAAATAAAATAATAATAAAAATAAAAATAGAAATAAAAATAAAATTTAATTTGACACGAAATTAAAGGATTCGGCCAAATTATCGTCGTCATCAACTGATCCTGGTAACAGATGCAAGGGACAAATTGATGAGTGTGATAAAGTCATGGAAGTGATTTTATTCTGAATATTTTATTTGTTGCCAATATATAATGGTTTTGGACAAGTAATATCTTTGTATTCATCTTTCACACGAATATTATTATAGATAACAAAATATTTATGTCTTGTGGACAGACCTATATACTATTAGAACAACATGACATTGCCAGTTGAAATAAAATATATTAAAGATAATTTGTTGACTTATTAAAATATAAATAATTTTAGCAGTAATTTATTTTTCAATTAATGTAATAATCTATTTAGCAAACAAATTTTCTAACTGATACAAATGCTCTTTCTTCATAATGTCTCCATTTATTTTTGAGTTCAAGAAAAATGGATAATGATCTATTTCATCTCTGCCAGCCCAATTAAAATTTATCAAATAAGCTTTTCTTATATTTTTACCATACAAAATGTTGCTTGGTTCATGATTTCCAAAAACAAATTATTCTCATGTAATATATTAATCATCTTGGATACTTGTTTTATAATAATTTGCTCATCTTGAGTATTCAAATCATTGTAATTGCACAAGGTTTTCCTAAATTTAATTGCAATGAATAATAAGTCTAACCATATAATTACAAATTTCTACCACTTACCACTAACTTCCTCCATAATTACTATGATTCAACCATGTATAATTCCTTTACAGACTTCAAATAGTTGTGGTGAGCCACCATGATTTTCACAGAGTTTATGGACTTCCCCATTATAATGCTGGGTATACTTAATAATATAATTTTCATTTGTACTATTTGCTGAAAACACTAATGGACTTATATGTGCACTGTAGGTGAATGTTATACCATTAAATGTATTATGATATGGAAAATAATGACTAGTGGTTGGTGAATCTACTCGCAAATTATGATAGTATTGTATGAGTTTTTACAAGCATGACGAAGAGAAGAAAATGTGTGGGCAAAATGAAGAAGCTTATTAGAATCCAATGTAGGAACAAGATAGAGCATATCTGTAAGTGTCTCAACTTTAATTTTATCTGCCAAAACAATACCTAAACAAATCATAAATAGTAAGAAGATTGAATGAATCAAAAATAAATTCAAAAATATACAACAACTGCCCTTACCCACACACATAACCATGGACCAGCAGAACACAACAGAAAGGTAGGACAAACTGACATTTCTCTGATTTGATTGTATCCTTCAGGTTTACCACTCCAGTTCCCGCACCAAAATTTCTCATAACAAATAGCTGACTGTAGAACAGGATCACAACTCCCTTGTGAGATTTCATTTTTTATGTCTCTTAGAATAACAGGAATTTCCAAACTTATTCCATTAATTACACTTGTTCCCATTATGTAGCCATCATTTTTAGGAGAACCATCATTGAAGGTTTTGCCAAAAAGAAAATGATAAAAATCTGCAATAGCTGATTGCCTGATAAGCTCTATCTTGTAGAATTTAGACATTGTGTTAAGGAACTTAAGTGTTTCTACACAAAGAGTTTTGTCAACATAATCATCCTTTTCACAATCTTGCAAGAAGTCACTAAATATTGGATGATAGAGCACCACTGGCTCACCAACATATTTGGGAGGCCTTCCACACTGTATGTTAGCTATTTTTTGTTGTTTAGAAAACAATTGATGTCCAGCTGCAACTGATGGGCTACATAATTGATCAATTTGTTGGAAAAGAACTTTTCAATTAGCCTTAATGTTGGTTACATCAAAAGGGAAGCTGTGTTTAGTGAATGAACTTGATGAGATCACTAAAGGAAAAATTAAGTGTTACCAAAAAAGCAAACCAGATATAAGAGAATATGGAAAGAAAAGTATAAGTCAACATTTCTCAAATATAAGCATTTATAATGAAGATTAATTATTTAATTGTATATGGAAAGTAAAAAAATTAGTTCAACCTTCTGTTGAAGATGTGTTGCCTAAAGACTAGTGCTGTATTCCAAAAAAGGAAAAAGTATGGTTGCAAAAGTGGTTGCAAAGGCAATTGCAACCACTTTTTATATGCCGTAAATACAATTACATCAGGAAATTTTCCCCGCTGCAATATTACATCCATAAATTTTAATATGTAAAGTTGTAATATTTGCATAAAAATTATGTAATATTTACACTCAATGTAATAATTGCCATAAACTTATGTAAATAGTGTAATAATTATGTAAATCTGCGTCAGAAAAATTTCCTGATGTACTACCATCATCATAATTTACGGCACTAGTCTTTAGTGTCACCTTCATCTGTTAGTTGTTGCAATTTTCTTTTAAGCTGTTAACTTCTTTTTGCAAATCCAATATCTTTTCTTTTTGTTGTGTAACCTTGTTTAGAGAATAATGATTAAAAAAAAATACTTAAATAATAACTGTATTGGATCAATCCACAAATATTAATTTATTTGAAATAAATTGATATTAATGTACCTATTTATGAATTTTATTTTCTTCAATAATTTCTTTATTTAATGATGATTTACTATGCAAATACAAGAAAGTCAAGGTTTTAGATCTCAAGTATAACCATTTTTCTTAATAACTAGAGTGATAACAAATGGCGGTAACCACCATTCTTATGATAAACATTAACAATAACATTTACCTGAATGAGTCTTTTATTTCAGTTCCTTGGGTTCTTCTTTGTTTTTGTTTTTGTTGTTTCGGCATTGTTTTATTAAAAAAAAAAGATGTGTTATTATTATAAACTAGAATGACGACAAGTGGTGGGTGATAACCACCACCACCATCCTTAAAACACTTACCAAGATCATGTTGCTTCTGCAACATTATTTGAATCTTTTCTTTTTTGTTCTTTTCTTTTTGGTAACATTTTGATTAAAAAAAAAAAGTTTGTGATATGATTGACACATACAAATTAATTATTTATCCTATTGGTTGGGAGGACAGATGCAAATTGATTTTTTTTTTTGGAAAACAATTTATTTTTGACAGAGTCCAAGGTGACAAAATGTGAGTATTGTTGTTTGGTTTGGTTTGGGTCTCCTAAAGAAAATGTGTTAATGACAGAGGTACTATTTTTTAATTTACATTGTGTTTTTTGGTTATTATAAATATTTTAATTGGAAATCAAAATGCGGAGCAGATCTTGCTGGGTAATAGTGTTTGTATTCATGATATTTGAATATCAATCACATGAATGATATTCGGATATTGTCCAAACAATTCTGAATGAATATAAACACTGCTGGGTAACAGTGTTGGAAATTCGACGATCTTATGATCTGCAAAAAAATATTTGCGCACATAATTGTGATCAACAAAAAAATTTATTTAAATTATATAAATAAAAATTATAAATAAAAATTACAAAAAAAAATTTTATGAATTAATCCTCCTATTTTTTTTATTTTCCCAATATTCACATGCTTTCTCAAAATTAAAGTCTTCAATTTCAGGTCCATTTAGTAAAATCATCAAATGATTAT